TATGTTAATTATTTTTGAGTAATCTGAAATGAAAACCAATTTGTAGACATAACATTTTGGTCACATATATTGGGTAAACACAAGGCCAGGGGACCCTTGTTCAACCCATGTTTGTTGTAGAGATAATAATGTGTGTGAGTGTGTGTTTGTGTGAGATTCACCTGTGGCATCACAGTTAGGGCTTCTTCTGAACTAGGCCACATTTGGCCTGAATTCAGTCAATATTTCACCCATCACATCTGTGTTAGGGAACACTTGTGTACATTTCCCCTCTGTGGGACTAATAAAGGTATTCTGATTCTGATTCTTAGCCAAGGGCATAAACAGATCTCCTGCTAATTCTTCTGTGAAAGGAGGTGGATGTCAGATTAGGTTCTCTCTGTGCACACACACACACACACACACACACACACACACACACACACACACACACACACACACACACACACACACACACACACACACACACACACACACACACACACACACACACACACACACACACACACACACACACACACACACACACACACACACACACACACACACACACACACACACACACACACACACACACACACACACACACACACACACACACACACACACACACACACACACACACAATTTGGTTACCCTGAACTATCCGCTTAAGTAACCCCTGATAACATGTGCACTCACCTGTTTCTGGAACTTTTCAGCATGTGGAAGTGTTGTAGCTACCAGCTGGACCTGCTCATATAAATCAACAGATTGTCATTCAGGACAAAACTGCTGGGATATCATCCTCAATTAGAGGCGTGTGAAAATGAATAATTGTTCACCTCATGAATCTACTCCTCGCCTGGCAGGAGAAACCTGGCACACTACGCACATGGAAAGCTCAATCGTGACTACATTATTCCTTCACCAACTTTTGTCAGTGAAACGCAGTTATTTGTTTTTCTCTTTGACAACAATGATGAATTTGTTTCACAAAACACTAAACTCACATTAGCTGTGCATGTTTATTACATTTTACTTGTTAGATGCTTTTATCCAAAGCGTCTTACATACTCAATACTGTGGACAATCCCCACAGGAGCAATTTGGGGTGAAGTGTCTTGCCCAGGGACACAACGACATGCTGACTGCTATGGGGTTTGAACCTGTGACCCAACACCAAGGCTCTATCCACTGCGCCACATGCCTGTTTATCTTATATGACTGACTCCAATCTGTGAAGCACTGCGGCTATCTTTAGCCCACTTATATCATCATGTTTAGACCAATGGCCATGTTAATGTGAGATTAAGTATGAGAGCATTTTATGTATTTTGATAATAACATTTAATCCTGCATCTGTTCTATAGAGATGCTTTTTTATTATAGTTCTACTGTATGCTGTGTGAGTTGTAAGCAATGCCTCAGGTACCGATATAAGCAATACAACATTTACAAAAATATTCAGCTTGGTGCTTTCTGTTTGCCCTTATGGAGTTTGCGGCCTGCTGTGTTAAATAACTCCCTGTAGTATAGTTCTTTGTTGATACTTAGACACATTTTGTGGAATGCATTCCATTTCCCCAAAACTGTTCCAAAACCGACTTCAAACACATTTTTTAATTCATCCAAAACTGGCTCACAAATAGCTTCTGGTATGGTGGGTACTGAAAACCCATCACATACTGTCATGGTAAACTTGGGACATTACTTTAAAAATAATTGAATCCTTGAATTTTTTGTTCAGTATGCTGATCAATCTTGAGTCCTGAATTACATTATGGCAGTTACAAAAGTGACCAGTAACAGCTACCATTCATCCATTCACCATCACATCATCAACTGCTTATCCAGTGGTGGGTTGCAGAGTTCCAGCATAGGGTCCCAAACTTCTCTTTCCCTGGCCATATTACCCATAATCCCTCCACCTGGGCCATTCATGACCAAAGGTGAGAGTAGGATCCAAGTTAGAGCGGTACATTGAGAGCTTTGCCTTCTGGCTCCAGCTCCATCCATTCATCCATTGTCAACCTTTTATTCGGAGACGGGTCACGAAAGTAGAAGTTCCAGCAGGATGACGCAAACATCCCTTTCCTTGGCCACATTAACCAGCCCTGACTTGGGCATCCAAGGTGCTTCAAGGCTAGCGTAGATATATAATCCCTCCACCTAGTCCTGGGTATGCCCCTTGGCCAACCTGGTCCTGGATATGCCCCTTGGCCCACCTGTGGTCCTGGGTATGCCCCTTGGCCCACCTGGTCCATGGTATGCCCCTTGGCCTCCTCCCAGCTGGACGGGCCCAGAACACTTCCCTAGGTTCAGGCATCCTTAATAGATGCCTGAACCATTTCAACTGGCTTCTTTCTAGGCAAAGGAACAGTGGCTCTACTCCGAGTCCCTCCCGGATGGCTGACCTTTATTTCACCTTAAACCTAAAGCTGCATTCACATAAGCAATTTTGTCTTTTTTCTCTGCGAGGTTGGGCTCAGAGCCTTCCGGCGAAAAAGCCAGTTATGTTTTGTTTCTATGGTTACATCCTTTGCTAGCTTGCACCGCTACATACAACTGTCATCTGATTGGTTGTGCGTCGTAAGGTCAATGGTAATCATATATATATATATATATATCTATATATATATATATATATATCATAATATATCTATAATATAATAATATTATCTATATATAGATCTATATATATATATATATATATATATATTA